ATGCAACGCAACGCGTAAAAAGACAGTATAAGTCATTATAATCCGTAATAATGTCCCCACTGGATGAAACAAATGCCTCGTTTGTAATGGGTTTTAATGTTTTTGTCTCGTCGCTCCGGCCAGACAGGGCATCACAGTATGGTAAGGGGCATAACATTTCCGTCACACACTTGAGGTATTCAGCCAATCACAACGCACTGGATAGCTGGCCAATCAGAGCACACCTCACTTTTCAGACCGATGAGCTTTGTAAAAATCGACGCGTTTCAGAAAGGCGGGGCATAGAGGAGAAACAATAATGTACAGTATGTGGAAAATAATGTGTTTTTTGAACCTTAAACCGCATAATCACATTTCATTTCACCAAATACACAAAATAATGTTATTTTTAGCAGCATCATATGACCCCTTTAATAATTGTGCACCAATAATAATTTATAATAATTAACCACCAAATCAGCATTTTACAATATCTGAAGTATTATGTGAACATAAAGACTGGAGTAATAGCTACATTTTGTTATCATAGGAATAAATTACATTTTAAAATATATTAAACTTTAACCAGAGTGTTTGCACCCCAAATTTTTAAGGGCTAGATTTACACAAATGCCACATGACATTTGATAGAAGAGAGAATTATTATCAAAGCACACACACACACACACACTGCTTGATTTATCACAAGTTAATGTTTTTATCAATAGACCTTCATCAGGGCACACTTTGGTTTAATTAATGAAAATTTAATCTAATAAATTGGCTTTGATTGATTAAACTTCCAATAACATTTTGACATGCTTCACAGACAAAAAAGCAGAAGATTTGGAGAGGATAAGAGAGGGAGATCAAGAGAGAGTGAGTGAGAAATCAAGAAGCGAGCACGAAAACGAATAAAACGGCAATTATATGTATTAGCAATAATTGTAAATTAAGTTAATCTGTAGGAACTCATGATGTGCTCATCACAATATGCAAATTAAAGAATATATCATGGATAAATCCTGCAGCTCAACACTTTAAAAGGTCAAATAGCGTGAATCCGCTCCACCCGCCTCCCATCGTTGATAGTCGTGTCACACCCACGGGGATGCAAGACAAGGATGTTAAAATAAGACTGTCAAAAACAAGCTCTCTGTAATTAAATTTCTGACAGTTTATGACAAAGTGCGCACAAACTCAGCTTCACACCCTTACGAAAGTGCAAAAAGAACGAGACGAGATTCACAGCAAGTGTAAATTGCAGAGGTACAATCTCTGCCACAAAATAAGGAAAAGTCTCAGTAGTTTTCAAAAGTTTCATGAAAGTGAAACTGTCCAGATTTCTGTTAAATAAAGGAGAAAAATATTACGATAGAAAGAAGGGGAGAAGAAAGAACCGTTTGAGGTCTCTCTTTATGAATTTTCCTTGTTAGAAGTCATGAAAAGTTTAACTTTTAGACACTTGGCACTTTGTTGCTGAAATGTAGGTCAGATTTACGCAGCTTGTTAAAATGATTTTCTAGTTGGATTCTATTCCTCCGTTGCCCTATGAGCCAATGATATACCTAATGTCTTTTAACTAGATCCTAACGTAATAGGAAAACTGATGCCAATTAGCGGCTAATTCCATTAGCACCTCGCTCGCCTTTTCTAATGTACTTGACCGCTTATTCTAGATCACTCATTTAGTCGATTAAATAAAGATGAATTCAAATAAGGACACTTGGAGGAAATGAGCGGGGGTCGATGCGGCGCGCTTGGCAAAAAGGTCAAATTTGTGAGGCGACAAACGGCTACGATAAAAGTCTTCCGGTTGACTCAGCACATAAAATGAATGACGTTCTTATAGCAAATAGTCGTCTGAAAGCACACCGGCCACAGTAAAATGAACATGCTATAACACTGTGCAGAAATGGGAACATTATGCTTTTAAAAGATGCATTTAAAGGTATTGCACTGGAAGTTAAATGACTTTTTTGTGCAAGTGCTGGCAGTTTTTATACTCTTGACAATATAAAGATTATAGTTTCCTGCAGGGGAATGGTTATACAACAGCAGAAATTTGTAGGACATGTATTATATGACTCTAAAGTGGTCAAACTCAGAGGTGCTGCAGTAATTTGATAGGTGCAACAAAGCCGTTTGTCTCCAGGAGGGGCGGGGTTTACCTTTGGCCTGACAGTGAAGCTCCATGATTTTCTCAACTTCCGTTATCACCGACCTCTTTGGTTTTGACGTGAAGTACGGAGGCTCTGTGTTCGTACAGCACACACACACACACACACACACACACACACACAGTATACTTGTCAGTACACACAAGATTTCAACGTTTTCTGAAGAAAAGGTGTTCTGGGTGGTAATAGGGTGTTGTTAAGTGTTTTTATGTATTCTAGATGGTTGCTAGAGTGTAGTTAGGTGGTTGCTTAGATGTTTTGGGTGGTTGTTTACCTAATGAATGCCTAAACAACCACCCAAAACATCTAAGCAACCACCTAACTACACTCTAGCAACCATCTAGAATACAAAACACTGGTTTTTATGTTTTGGGTGGTTGTTTAGGTATTTGTGGAAGACATCATGTGTTGTGTCCCTCATTCCAGTGGGCCTGCATTTATATTTTCACCATTTAATACCAATTTGAGTGTATTCCAGAGTTTGCTGACATAGCAGGCAGATATTCAAGAAGTGTATTTTGAAGTCATGATGAAAGAGTAAAAGTATGGATGAGTACTTTCACTAAACTTCATGTAAAAAGCAAAAAGTGAGCCCATACTTTTCCAGGAGTCTTTGGTGCCGCACTTTGCTCATTATATTAGTAAAAAGGTTTTATATAAATGTATCCATAAAAGAAAAACCTTTCATCCACTACACTTTTATTTTCACCTTTATTTTCAGATTTCATGACAGGAAGAGCAAGACTCTTGTTACTTTTTCACACACCTGGCATTTGTTTTTTTTCTCGCTCTCGCCTTGTCTAACTCACTTCAAATGAAAAAAAGGCAAAGGACCTGTTCAGCGTGTTGCTGATAACAGCTTTTCACTTACTGAAGAATATCGAGAAAAAAGGAGGGGGTTAAACAAATAACAACAACAGCAACAAAAACGAACGCCATAACAATGCCACAGTTTTTCTAATTCGTCCTCATTCTTTCTTCTCTCTTTGCTCTCCACCTTTTGGCTCTTTCCTGACAAATCAGCACTTATTCAGTCTCATTTCCGTACCCACTGTATGCAGATCAGGATATACATATTCAGATTGGCGCCTGGATCGGATTCAACGGCAGAAACAATAAACACCTCCTCCATCTCAACCTCTTTTCCACTGCTGGCTGCTCTGACATGTTCACTTTATCTTTCTATAAAAGTCTCTCTGAGCCTCCAACAGCCCCAATTTATTCATCACTCCATTGGCTGCCTCATGCATATGCATGCCCCCTTTCGCCCAATCATGTAAGGCGCACACCTGTCAGATAAGCTCATTGAACGAATATTTGTAGCTGTTTCTAATAAGAGTGCGAGTTGAGGTATAAATATTCATAGCACATCTTTGGGTGAAAAAGATCTCAGGGCAGAGAATAATATTTGTGTTTTTGGATCAAAGAGTAGGGATGTTAAGGAGGCTGAGGATGTTTAAGCCCACTGACCTTCTGGAAACATTGGAAACTAAGAGTCGTGATGATCAGATAAAACTTTTGCCAAAAAAAAATGATCCGACCCCTTACTGAGAGATACAAAGAAAAAATGTAACGAAATAGGCAAAAAGACAACTTTAGAGTGTCTACAACAGGGCTGATGTGTCACTAAAGGCTGCATTTAAACTTCTTCTGCGACAAAGTCTTATGTAGGTGTCTGTTGATGAAAATGTCACAGAGGCAGTTCCAACTGTGATTTTTGGATTTTTAATGTATTTCTGATTTCATACTGACTCTTTTCAAATATTTCTTAATCACATGCTCCATCAGAGTTTTATCTATGATTTAGCCACTTAAAACCTTCAGTAAATCAGTTAGAACTATTGGGGAATGTCACTAAATCAGCAGCAGAGAGGTCATTTTGATGAAGATACTATAATATGGCCAGCAGCATACATATGTCTTTATTTGTAGCTTGACTAATATTTAAAAGTTAAGTTGTGTAGGTTGAGTGTGTGTATAGCTAACTAATTGAAAAATGAATAGAAAGAAATGCAATGTTAAATGATAAGAGACAATCAACTTATTGGTAAAGGTATCATCTGATCTTTACAACAGCCTTGAAAGCCTAACTTAAATATATAAATAATATAAAGTTAAAGTAAATAAAATTACTCTAACTCTAGATAATGGCAAAGTATAGCAATAATGATACAGAGGAACAATAGGCCTATGACTGGAACTTTCAGAGTGATTTTTTCCAGTTGATGAGTAATAAAAACATTGGGTCTCATTCACTAACCAGGCGTACATACAAGTTTGTGTGTGAAAGCTGCATGTGAACATTTTTACAAACAAATGATGATTCATTCAATAACTTTCATACTAAAATTTGTTCAAAATCTATGATTCATTTTCAGAATTATAACCAATGATAGCTATAACCATACAGTTTAAAAAAACTCTACGAGAATAACAAAGTTAATAAAAGAACTATAATGATAACAACACAGTACTGTGTATGAGCATTCTCACAAAACAAAAAAAAATCATGATTCTTACTACATGCACACTGTTTAAGGATATTGCTGTGCGTGCTTTCAGGCAAGTGTGTGTTTTTCGAGAGCATCGAAAGGCTGTAAAAATATAGGTTGTGCAAAAACTCCCTATATGGAGATAGTTTGGGCATTTTATGCAAAAAAAAAAAAAAAAAAAAACCTTGCACACACATACATAACTCATTTTAGATTACTCAAAATTAACTGACATTAGAACAAGGTTAAGAAAAATTATTGTGCACATACATGTGTTGTGAATTAGGCAGAAATTATTTGTGAGAATTTCTGTGTATAAATATATGAATAATCCACACAGTTGAGAAAAACGTGGATGAGACCCACTGACAGCCAATCAAAATCCATGGTACTTTAAAGCATGAGTTGTGAGAACATGACTGCAACAGTGAGTGGAATACAGTTATCATTGAACAATATAGTTTTCACTTTTGGGTTCTCAAATTTGATGATGTTTTTACATTTGATTGCTGAACTGGCATATGTACAGTAATTCATACATAAGCTTGTAGCTGTACTTGACTAGACATAACTGCCCAGAGGCATTGAAAAAAATGGCCATGGAAGTGGACTGACTTGCTTTAAAAGAGATCTGGTATTATACAAGACAAAAACGAGCTGACTGCAGTATGTAATTCAACGATATGCCTGAATTCAGATCTGTCAAGTTCTTTCTCTTCAGGGCATTTCAGTAAAATAATACTTAAAAATCTGTCTGAACCTGCATGTATAGTAACACCAATCATCTTACCCAGCACGGAGAGGTACGCTTTGGCCTCAGTGCTCTTTTGACTGCTGTTTCTGAGCGCAGCCTCACACACGTACAGACCCACGTCCGCTGAGGTGGGGTTACTGATGACCAGCCTGCGACCGAACGAGTCCACTCCTGCTGTTAGTCTCACCCCATTACGCTTCCAGAACACCTGCAGCCTGTCAAGAGATCTGCTCCGCGGACACACACAAAACACAGCACATTAACTGCCATACTGAAATTAATACTCAAGCCAAGAATTATGAAGAGCACAGCAACTGTGTTATGTGTTAAATATGCAAGAAAAATACATACACTACATGGTCAAAAGTATGTGGGCACCCTGAATTAACAGGTTGGCTAGGCCCCAAATTCAAGCCGAGACAAATTGTAATGTTTAAAGCCAACTTTTGTGGGTTTTAGCCAATGTTTGTTAGCTTTGATGTCATATACACTACCAAAAAGATTTGGGGTCTGTAAGATTGATTGATTGATTGATTGATTGATTGATTGATCTATTGTTTATTTATTGTGTCTTTTATTTGAATAAAAAAAAACAGCAATATTTTGAAATATAAAAACAACTGAAATTAACTGCTTTCTGATCTAATAAATTATAAAATGTACTTTATTCCTGTGATGGCAAGGCTGCAATAAAATGCCAAAAAATGGCAGTAAAAACATTATTTTTTTTTTTATTTTATTAAGATTTTTTTTTTAATTTCAAATAAATTCTGTTATTTTTTATTCACCAAATAATCCAGGAAAAAATATATGTATCACAGTTTCTACAGAAATATTAAGCAGCACAACTGTTTTTAACATTGATCAGAAATGTTTCATGAGCGATATTTTTTAAGATTCATGTGACACTGGAGACTGGAATAATGGAAGATTTTGCTTTGAAATAAATGACATTAAATATATTAAAACAAATTATTTTTAGTTTTTTTTTTATATTTTACACTGTAATAATATTTCACAATGCTCCTGGTTTTTTTGTATCAAATAAATAAAAAATCTTATCAACCCTTCTGCTTTTAAATGTTAGTTTATATGCAGTACTGTATAAATGTTAACAAAATTCACTATTATCAGATATACATATTTAAAATTGACAGTCCCTTGCAGGAAAACAAATAAAAAAAAATATTGATGACTCATCCAGCACTACACAATTTTTGTCCAATCAAATGCTCTTTATACTATATAAGAATAAGAACCATCTAGTAAGTGGCAAACCAAGATCATGGCTGTGATATAGGCTAAAGTACATAGGCTAATTTAAAAAAGAAGAGTCCTTTAATATTAAAATGAAGTCTACACCTAAATTTCAACAGGAAATATGTCAACTCATGAAAGAAAACTGCAGTTTTATGGGGTCAATGGTTTTGAAATGAAATTCTCAGCCAGCTTTACTGTATCTACAACTACATACTTTTGTCCACATAGCGTATTTGACAAAATTGAAAAGAAGAATCTGGTTGAATTAAGTTGAAACAAGTCCATAAGTGAATTTTACAGCAAGAAAATGTGAAATGACAGATATAATCACAATTCAAAATGACTGACACTAAATTACATCCCTAATGTGATGGATAATAAAAACAATGTAACGATGACAAACATCTGTGAAATTATACAGGAAGCCTGTTATTAACGGAACCCTGGCAGTGAGTCACTGCCGTCGAGGGCAACCCACCTCGCATTAGCAACGCACTCAAGAGTAGCCTCACTCGCCCCGGCAACCACTGATGTGTTCTTAGGTGCCATCACTATCACCGGGGCAACCAATTCAGCCGGGGCAATAACGTCTGAGATGGAGAAAGGGAAAAGAATGGTGAAAAAGAGAGAGACGGCTGATTATTGGCACAATCAATCAGGTTAATAGACTGAGCATCATGGGGGAGATAAGGTTTTGTGATGAGGTGCTAAGTTTTTTTTCTTTCTTCTTTTTATCCTCTCTCTGAATCATTTCGTTCTCTGAAAAATAATACATGCAGAAGAAAGTCAAATGACTATCCATGGTTGACAGATGATAGAGGAGGGGAAGAAAGAGCGGGAGATGGGGAAAGATAGGTGAGTGGCGAAAATGACATGTGATTGCATCTTTAAAGGAATAGTTCACCTCAAAATGAAAATTATGTCATTTACTCATCCTCGTGTCATTCCGTGCAATTACAATAAATGGGAACTGGAGCTTTCAATCGCAAAAAGGATGCAAAAGCAACAAGAAATATAACAAGAGTTGCACATATGACTTCTACGATGTATAAAATCTACAGTATATGACTCATGCGTTATATTTCTTGGCATATTCATTAGAGAGCTAGTGATGTCTGATTCATAAACGAATCGTTCTTTTGAGTCAGATCTTTTCAATGAATCAGTTCTTGATTTAAACTCTTTGACATTCAGTAACATTGATTCTTGCATTAACTAAATGAAGGAAAAATGATCTATGAACAACAACATGCAAATATTTTATCAAATTTAATTTATTCCTATGATGGCAAGGCTGCATTCATTTGATAAAAAGAAAAAAAAATGCCATTCAAACTAAGAAAAAAAATGGCGTAGAAAACATTTTCACTCAGAAATGGCTAGTATATTTCACAAACAGTAACAAAGAAATGCCAAGTAACACATTAAAAGTGAAATTTAGAAGCAGAACAAAAACTGAAATAGTATTTTCTTGTAAAACGTACTCCAATAATTTTTGTTTTATTTACATCTTATAAATATCATTTTTTATACTTTTGCATCCTCTTATTATTTAAAACTCCACTCGTTATATTATGCATTATCTTTAAATGGCATGAAATAAAAGACGGAAAAAGCAAATAATGATAGAATTTTCCTTTTATGAGAATGATTCCTTTAAGAATCAGGGAGAATGGCGAGAACATACACCTCAGACGAAAACCAGCCTACCATGATAGATAAACTGGCACACATATGCAAACACACACACACACACACACACACACACACACACACACACACCCACACACACACACACACAACACACACACACAAGCTTTGATCTGATCTTTGATCAGTGACTGGAAAGGTGTAATGCATTCTCACTTTCTCCGAACACAGAAGTGATAGATGCTCTAACTTTTGTAATCTCAGTAGGAATGTATGTAATTTATGCATTCATCTGGCTGTATCTCATCATTCAAAAAGATGACAAACAAAGCACAAAAAACCTAGCATAAAACTGCGAGTGAAAATGAAATACAGAAGAATGGAGCGAGCGAATGGAATTGGACAGGAAAAGTTAATAAGAAGAGGAACAAGATATATAGAATTGCTATTTCTGAAAGTCTAAAAACGAAGTGCTATTTCAAAAGTAGTTGTGTATGTGCACTCTAAATGTAGCCAGTATGTGTTAAAACAGTGGCACCTTAGATTTGGATCTTATTACCCGGCATGACACCTGATTTGCATAGACTGGCACATTTTAAATTTATGTTTAGTACCAATTACACTAAGCAAACCTTGGATACATCTGGTGTTAAATAGCTTCCAGATTTCAACTACTGATGTACACAGAATATAAGAGCTTAGCATGATTTACACATCTTGTTCTTGGAACAACAATTCTTTCAACCAGTTTTTTCATGTTATGGTTAATATTTGATAAACGGGTAGCATTAAAATTGTTCTTTTGTCTAAATAAATAAAAAATTAAATACTTAAATCTGCTTTAAAATGGCACAAAATTAACTTAGGCATCACAACATTATAATGTACAGTATGGAAAATGGATATTAATTTTGAGGTTTGAAAAAGATTACATTTATTTTTTTATTTTTTTAATTTCACTGACCACGTGGTTTTTGGTTACATTTATTTTAATACATAACAATTTAAATAAATGAATCAATAACAAATTAGCACGTTAGCTAAAAATTGTTAAACCGTGCAACATGTTAAATCATGCTAGCAACTTACTAACCCTTACGAAAATGAACCGTGGTTTTAAAACAAATAAAACATGGTAATAAATAAAACAAACAAACAAACAAACATGGTTACTATAGGCCTAGTTAAACCACAGTAATCACAAATGAACCATGGTTTTGCTACACTAACCATAGTTTAATCATGTCTGGTATTTGTAGAACTGTGTGGTTATACAAATGGTAATCACACACCAAAAAGAAAAAAAAAACATGGTTACTACACTTAATTTACGTAAGGGAAAAAATGCAAGCAATGTGAAAAAAAAAAACGTTAAAATGTTTGCTAAAACATACTGGCAATATGCTAATTATGTTTGCAACAACTTAAAACATGGTAGCAACTTACTAAAACAACGCAACGTGCTACAACATGTTAGCAATGTGTTAAATTATGCTAGAAACATACTAGCAATGTGCTAAAATGCTTTGTTAAAACATGCTAGCAACCTGCTGAAACATGCTAGCAACATGCTAAATCAGGCTACCAACATGTAAAAACATGGTAGAAAAATGCTAAATCATGCTAGAAATGCTCTAATACATGTTAGCAACATGCTAAATCATGCTAGCATGTGTTAAATCGCTTGCTAAAACATACCTGCAACTTGTTAAAGGGGTCCTATTATGCTTTTTCACTTTTTTTATTTTAGTCAGTGTGTAGTGTGTATGTTTGGGCATAAAAAAGATCTAGAAAGTTACAAATCTCAAAGTCCACTCCAAAGGGAGATATTTAGTTTTTTAAAAATCCCTTTTCAAGAACTACAACGAACGGCTCTTTGGACTACAGCGTTTCTTTTCCGGGCTTTGTGATATCACAAAGCGGCTCATTGGAATATCATTACAAATAATTCCCGCCTACAGAAATTCGAATGGTTGGGGGGTGGGGAGGGGCGAGGTTGTGGTTAGAACGCTTGGTTGAGTGAGTGCATCAGACGAGACGACGAAGAAGAAGTGCTGCTGCAGAGTTAGTGCATCAGAGAAAACGAAGAAGAAGAGCTGCTGTGCTGTAGCATCAAATTTTCGGCATGTCTAGAACAATTCTTACAAGTATAACACGACGTAGCTGGACACCGCGGACAGACGCCGAAGCGCCGCTGGTGTGCCTACACATAGCATAGAAAATAAAGTATTTTAATTTTAAAGACGTGGCGCGATGCGACGCTGCGCTTCTTGTCCGGTGCGCGACCGCCTGAAATGCTGTTTTTTTTCACCTCCGGCCCAAACATCTTTGTTTGGGCTTCAGAAAGCGGATGATGTCAGGAAACTGTGGTTGCAATTTATTTTTTAACTCTGTCCCTGAGCATTATAACCCCAATTTGCTATTATGTGCTGCGCATTTTACTGAAGACAGCTACCACAACATGTAAACAAAATACATGTGTGTAAATACATCTAAATGCCACTTCAGATGCAGCTTCTGTGTTGATTTCATTTGCTTGGTAACAGCCCAAATGTCTTATTATTCTAATTCCCTGATTAAATGTAAGAATTTGACTCAAAAGATAATGGACACTTCTAGAAAAAATGGCTTTATAAAGGTAAAAATGCCCATAAAATGTAAAAATCTGTTTAAACTTATTGGAAAAGATTAATTTCTATCAGTATGAACTGACCACCACACAGAATATGAAGAATATTCAAAACATTATGAGTCAGCTGTCTTCGGCAGTCCTTAAGGTACCAGCACAATAACACACTCAGCAAAATATCGTCTAATTATCGTCATCGATAAAATCCCAGAAAATATCGAGATATTATTTTTTGTCAATATCGCACACCCCTAATTATAACCCCAATTTGCTATTGTGTGCTGCGCATTTTACTGAGGACAGCTTCCACAACATGAGGGAGTAAAGTGCCTGCCGGATTCGCCCAAAAGTTTTTGTTGAAAGACGGAGCAAGGGGCGTGGCAGTAATGAAACACAGTCTAAGCTGTTCGCCAATCACAACGCACTGGGATAGCTAACCAATCACAACACATTTTGTTTTTCGGAAGGCGGACCTTCATCAAAGCCGGAACTAATCGAGCTGTTTGTGCCAGGATGGGGAGAAAGGTATTTTAATAATGTAAATGATGTGAAAAATAATGCGTTTTTCGAACCACCAAGCATGAGAGCATGTTCTATCTAGTACACCCCCAAAACAAAATCAAGACGTTGTAAAAGAGCATAATAGGACCCCTTTAAAACATGCTAGCAACATGCTAAATCAGTTAAATCATGTTAACAACTTACTAAAACATGGCAAAAAAGTGTTAAATCATGTTAGAAACATGATAGCAATGTTCTAATATGTTAAAATGTTTTGTTAAAACATGTTAAAAACATGCTAAATCATGCTAGAACCACAACTGTATACAGTAGAGCCAGTGAAGTCTGATTCATGGACAAATCATTCTTTTGAGTCAGAACTTTTCAATGATCTGATCTTTGTTCAGTTCACAAAACCAGGCTGAATTCATGCATGAATCAGTTCTTGAGTTCAAATCACTGATTCAGTCACATTGATTCTTGCATTAATAACTAAATGGAGGATAAAATTATCTATGAAGTATGAACAACAACATTTGGATCTTTTGGGTGTTAAATCATGCTAGAAATATGCTAACAATGTGCTAAAATGTTAAAATGTTTTGTTAAAACATGCCAACAACATGCTAGACTAAATCATGCTAGAAATGTGCTAAACATGTTAGCAACATGTTAAAACACGCTATAAACGTACTTGCAAGATGTTAAATCATACAATATGCTAAAACATGATAACATCAAGTTTAATTATGTTAGCAACCTTTAATTCTCTGACTTGAGTAGCTATACTTTCAAACTTCAAGATTGTCAAGGTTATTTTGAACTAAGGCAACGCTTTGTCAAACCATCATCAATGTCATCAAACATTATCTGCCTAGTTATTAATATAAGCTAATATGCATATATATGAAAAAAAATTCAACCAGTCAGTGCTCTCTGGTTTCAGGGGTTGAAATGGCTGTGACTGATCGATAAGAACATTGTTCCAGAACCAACAAACAACTGTACACGTCTAAATCAAACTGTGTGAAATGCAATGTCATGCTGAACGGCAAACAATTAACATAAATACATTAAATATGATCCAACAGAAATAAAGAATCCCACTCTAGTTCACATCCCTCACCTCTGCTGACAGAATAATTGTGCGAGTCTATCTATTCTCATATTGTGCTTTGGGAAATGCTGATTATAGCTGTGTGTTATTTTTCAGAGTGAGCTCAGAAGTACAGTAGCCTGAAGAACGCCGCAAATGAAAAGGAGGATTGTACTAAGGGGAAAAGACAGTGTGTCGTGCATCTGAGGTAATGTTGCTGTCAGCCGCTTATACAGCCTCATGCACTCAAGTCAGAATGGTGTTTGACATGGTGTTGACACGGTGTTGTCTTCCACGGGTTGGTTTTCATCAGGCGCAGAGATTAGCTGCCTTGAGCATATCGAGATGGCCGTAAAACGATGTAGAACACAGCTATACAGGGACACACGAAGTCCACACACAAGGATAGGGGTCATTCGGTGAGATCGGATGTAATAATCTTAATCCAGTGTCTGTCTACATGAGTAGTGAGTGAGATTACGACATGTGGAGATATTAAATTTGTCTCTGAGGAGAATCCATTATCTTAAACCTCTAACAAATCCATCTAAACACACAGTACAAGAGAGATTACACACACACACACAGAGGAAGACAGCATGGGTGAGAGCAGACAAGAAAGAGAGAGCACGGAAATTATTTTTTCTCAGGACTCTCAGCTGTGATTGGTCAATGTGTGCACATATTAATCAGTGTGAAACTACATATCATGCAGTGTGTGTGGGTTTAGCTTTAGGATTTCCCATTTTAAGGCCTGTAGAATAATTCCAAATGATCAGACAAAAACTTGGGTATGCATGCATATGTCATGTACAAAACGCAAAATAATTGGAGAAAAATAAGGAGATCCAATAAAGATAAACAAGAGTAGTTGCTCTTTTTGGAATGAAATGCATGCATACTGCAAACTGGGTATACACTGAATACTACACATTACCAACAAAAAAAAAATCATGTGAAAAACCACATTATGAAATCATAAACATTTCTTATGATGTATGCTTCACTGCACTCATAATATTAGTACATTCATTTCATAAAAAAAATTAAATTCTCTTAACTCTCGTTTGTCATTAAAATAAAATAAAATAACTTCTGAATAACTGAAACAAAATCGTCATTAAGGAAATGAAAGTACTGTAAATATATAGTACATGGATTTTGTGACAATTACTTGGCTTATATTAATTAAAGGGGTCATATGATGTGATTTCAAGTTTTCCTTTCTCTTTGGAGTGTTACAAACTGTTCGTGAATAGATAAGATCCCTAAAGTTGCAAAGACTAAAGTCTCAAAACCAAAGAGATGTTCTTTTTAAAAGTTAAGACTCGTCCACACCCTCCTAAAACACCTCGTTTAAACACGCCTCCACATGTCTATGTCACGATGTGGGAAGATTTGCACAATGCTGCCCAAATGTTCACGCAAAGAAAGAAGGCGTAACTTTATTGTTGCTGCCACTGCCGCCGCCCTGTTGTGAAGACGCTGTGTGTTTCGTTGCGAAAGCGAAACTACTTTGTTTGGCCTTCCAAAAGAGGACACGACTAGAAATCAGTGGTTAAGTTGTATTTACAACACTGTTCCAGAACAGTTCAAACCAAATATTCAGATGTGTGCAA